TGTACTATTATTCCTGCTTCCTGGGCCAGCCTAGAGTTCCTGCTTCCCCCTTTCGCTCTCTCCCACCCCCCACCCCACCCAGTGAAGGGTAACACTGGGCAGCCCAGCCAAGTCACGGCTGAGGGATTGGTTCCCTGTGACAACCCTGACCCCCCCTGGCCTGACACAAAGGAGGCTACCGGAAACTCCTGACCGCTGCCAAGCCGGTAGCCAGAGTGTCCTGGAGAGGAATTCTAAGCTCACAACAGAGCATTTCTCATCTAGTTTTTTTATGGGTTTGGGATTGGGGAGGGGTTGGTGACTGGCCAAAGACGAGTGGCAGAATGATGAAATCATGAGAGACCACAACACTGATTCATGTCATGGTGGGAATGGGGAACAGGCTTTTGTGCCAACCAGAATGTGCCTGGTTACACACGCCAGTTAAAAATAGTGACGGCTCCAGAGCGGGCATGCTGGTCAGAAAGAAATATTCCTTCGTCTATAATATTCTAATTGTTTTTAAAGAAAACTTATTTCTAGGTGGGAGGGAGGCTCAAGGTGGGGGTAGGGAAGGATATACGTATACGTATAGCTGATTCATGGTGGTATACAGTGGAAACTAACACAATATTGTAGAGCAATTTTGCTCCAACTTAAAAAAAAAATGAAAGAAAACTTTTTTATTAAGAAAACTTATTTATGGATTAGAATTATAGGTTCTCTTTAAAATTCAGAAAGGAAGGAGAGGGTGGGATGAATTAAGAGAACAACATGGAAACATATATATTACCATATGTAGAATAGATAGCCAGTGGGAATTTGCTATATGACCCAAGGATCTCAACCCAGTGCTCTGTGACAATCTGGGGGCGGGGGGAGGATGGGGAGGGAGATTCAGGAGGAAGGGGACATGTGAATACTTTTGGCTGATTCATGTTGTGTGTGGTAGAAACCAACACAATATAGTAAAGCAATTACCCTCCAATTAAAATTCAGAAGGAAATGGCATCCACTGTTGCTTTGAGAACCTCAGGTTCTGGGGTGGGGTGGGATGGAGATGGGGGTGGAGGGAGTTTTCTAACTTCTACTCTATCTCAGGCCTGCATTGTTCACACCCATTCAGCTCAGCCAGCCTTTGCCTGCCCACTACACATAGTTCAAGGCTTCACAGTCTATGGGGCACAAGCACAGAGTGTCCTTTGGCAGAAGCTGATGAAATAGAAACAGCTTGATGAAAGAGGTTATGAGGACCTCCTGCATGGTCCAGGGGGTTAAGAATCCACCTGCCAATGCTGGGGACACCGGTTCGATTGCTGATCTGAGAAGATTCTACATGCCAAAGGGCAACTAAGCCCATGTGCCACAACAACTGAGCCCATGAGCCTAGAGCCCATGCTCTGCAACAAGAGAAACCACCACAATGAGAAACAACTAGAGAAAGCCTGTGTAGCAACGAAGATCCAGTGTAGCCAAAATTTTTTTTTAAAAGGCGGTGATGAATCTCAAATTGCCTACATCTGTGGTTGGATGAGCACAGATTGGGGCTACAACAGATAAGCAGCCAACCAGACCCAGAGACAGAGCAAGTAGGTCCTGTATCAGTGATGATGTCAGAGTTAGCTTTGTCTTCAAAGCTGATGGGATTTTGATAAGGTAAGGAAGGGGTGGTGCAGGGGTGTGCCGGTCTGGAAAGAGGAAACATCTTAGAAGACAATTAGGATGTAGATTTTAAAAAGCTCAAGGTCATTTCCAATTCCACCACCATGGCCACCATCACCGATCCCTGTCCCCCAGGAGTCTTATCTTTGCACTCTTTTTGACATCTCACCACCCGCTCTGTTCTGGGGGATCTCAGCAGGAGACAACTTGTGTGAAATTCTCAGGGTTTTTCCCCATTATTTTTGTTATGTGTAAAACTGCCTGGAGACAGACACCAGTGGGAGGCAAAGGTCAGAGGAATTAAACAATTTTCCCAGGTGAGGAGGAAGGGAATTGGGACATTAACCTGGGTCTCCCCCATCCCCTCCAGCTGTCAAATAAGGTGGCCGGAGTCTGACTATGTTCACAGACCCCTGAGTGAGATCAGCCTGGTTCAAATCCCAGTTCTGATATTCACTGTGTGACCTTCTTTTTTTTTCCCCCACTGTGTGACCATAAGCAAAGTACTTAACCTCTCTGTGCCCCCATTTCCACAGATGTAAATGAGGCTAAAATACATCCATCAGAGCTGTTGGGCAGATTAAAAAAGATCTTGCCTATAAAATGCTTCATATAATGCCTGTGTTGTAGACACGCGTTCTGCAAAACAAACTCACTCAGAAGGACAATGCAGATAGTAGAGTGCAGTTTATTACACCGGTGGGCCCAAGGCAGAGTCTCCTCTTAGCCAAGGACCCCGACCAGTTTTTGTGAAAACAGCTGTTGGGCAGATTAAAAAAGATCTTGCCTATAAAATGCTTCATATAATGCCTTTGTTGTAGACATGCATTCTGCAAAACAAACTCACTCAGAAGGACAATGCAGATAGTAGAGTGCAGTTTATTACACCAGTGGGCCCAAGGCAGAGTCTCCTCTTAGCCAAGGACCCCGACCAGTTTTTGTGAAAACCTTATAAACCCTAAGTGTACTTGCTCAAACACACCTCCCCAAATTCCTTGAAACTAGTCTGGACAAGGTAAAAGAGAGATACGATCAAAGTTAACCCATGATTCATGTGTCACAAGACTAGATAAACAGCGGATATATATCAACAGGCCTGTGGTCATATCCCAATAAACATAATGGAATTTACCACTTTGTTCTGTTACAGAGATAATTAGCATATTCTTTCAGGCAACAGAGTGTCCAAGTACAAGTCCTGAGGCTCGTTTATCCGGGGGTCTGGTTTTCCATTGGTTTGCCATTTCTATAGACACCAGGCACAAAGCCCAGAGTCCACTGGGAGGGTGACCATGCGTGTAGCCTAATGCTCACAGCCTGGCCTAAGACGGAGTCCAGCCCTGTCTGTTTCCTCCTTCACCTGCAGCAGAGGAAATGTATAAGTAGTAATTTTTGCTGTTACCTCCTATCACTGATCATTACTGTTACCATCCACTGTCTCTCATGAGTTTCCCTGGTAGCTCAGCTGGTAAAGAATCCACCTGCAATGCAGGAGACCTGGGTTTGAGCCCTGGGTCAGAAAGACCCTTAGAGAAGGGACTGGTGACCCACTCCAGTATTCTCGCCTGGAGAATCCCACGGACAGAGGGCTACATTCCACGGGGTTGCAAAGAGTCAGACAAGACTTAGTGACTGAGCATGCAGGCACGTCTCTCACTCAGTATCTGAATTTTAGAGTCTGCCAGTTGGCTGGAGACCATGTCTGAACCTTTTCCTTAATTCTATTCTCCTCCTTAGAAAAGCTGCTCTCACTCCATTTGCAGGCATCACAAGAATTCTCTCATAGCCTTGTGCCACTGCTCAATGCCCTGGAATCCTTCTGTTAGCTCAGCTGTCACTGGGGTCTGGGAAAGCTTTGAGGACCCTCAGTTGTAGGGGTGGGGGCGTGCAGATACACATTAGAGAGAGTCTAATGTGCAGACGGAGCAGGCGGAGGCGGGGGCTATGTAAGCAGCTTTCATACCCTGTTCCCCCTTCTCTTCCGGTGTGTAGCACAAAGTGCTCCACACAAAGAGCCTATCTGCACCTTGGCTTAGGTGGGCTTTCTCGAGAGCTCACCCACCTGAGACATGAGAGCAGCATGCTCACTGCATCCTAGACCCTTGCTGCCCCACTCCTGGGGCCAGGTATCCTCCATCCCTGACAGGTTCAACCAGGGACAGTGTGGTGACCAGGAGGAAGCTTGGGGCCTCCCAGGACTTCCACCCACAAATCCCAGCTCTCCTCCTGTAATAACCCAGTCTCGTCTTTCTGCCATGAGCACCAAGAGTTGGTCCCCACACTTGTGGGCTCTTAAGTGATACTCATCTGCCCCATCCTCTTATTGTTCCGGTGGGAAAGTTCCTGGCATTCAGAACCAGCCCTTTCCTCCGACACCAACTGGTTTCCATGTTAGAATCACCTGGGACCTTTCAAAATCTCCAAAGTCCCAGCCACTTGCCGGACCAGGGAAATCCCGCTTTCTGGGGTGGGGCAGGCATCCGTGGCTTTTGGTTAGTTTCCCAAGCGGATTCCAAGTGTGGGCAAGTTTGGAATCCATCATCCTTGCTGCCCCAAGAATCCCAACAAATGGCCACACGTCAGGCTAAGTGCCTGAGTGTGGCGTACCCATCACGCCTCAGTGGTCCGTTTTCAATTTCTGACTTGACCATCAGGAGGGACTTACTCATGTAATAGTGGAAGACTGTCACATATTGATCAAGTATAGTAAGGTTATGTAGATGGCGTGCTTACTAAAGTTTGAATAAATTAACATGCGTAGACAAATGTGCAAAGCCACAATCATTGCAATAACACATCAATGTCTTAGTTGTGTTTATGAATAATAAAGGTAAATATTGAAGCTAATTAAAGACAGGCTTTTTTTTTTTTTTTTACAAATATGACTCTGGGAAATAGAAATACACATTAAATCCCCTTAAAAATATCAACATAAAGTATGTAATATCCAAACGTTTCTGATGGAATTGCAATTATCTGCAAATTCTTCAATTTCTACTGAGCGATTAGATACACTGTTCTGTCATTTTTGTCTAATTAATTACATCCTGCTCTGTGAAAAGAACACAAACAACTGTTCATTTGATCCAATTATGCATATATAATTTTAGACACGTGTTGCCTTTAGCAGAACTTGATTTCTTTGAATCTCAAATTTTGGGGTCAATTCGTCCAGTCATTTTTAACAGTCTAGGTGCCAGACTCCTTTCAAGTCCATGTACTCAAATGAAAGCAATTTTTCACACAGCTTCTGGGAGCACCTGGACTCCCCAAGTTCTCCAGGTCCCCTGTAGAGTCCAGAGGAAGGCGGGGAGTGGGGGGTGGCAGGGGGAAATGAGGAAACAAGCCCAGAGGCTAAAGTGACTCTTGCTGTCAGTTAGGTCCACTACCAAGATTCAACTTCCTGTCTCCCGACCTTCTGGCCATTCTAGGAGAGACAAGCGCTGGGCCTCTTGGCCTGGGTTCAAAGCCTGATTCTGCTTCCTGTTGGCTGGCAATGTGTGCAAGTTACATCAGCCCTCAGTGCAGCAGTTTCTGTGTCTGAAGACTTCCCCATTAGCCTGCCCCCTGTTAGCATTACAGCCGTGTTTGCTATAATTATTTACAAGTGAGGACAGAGGCAAACAGGGGAACAGGTGAGTGCCCTAGGTCACCAAGCTGCTACGGGATGTGGCTCCAAAGCCTGCAGTTCTCACCCTGCATCCCCAATTCCTCCTGCCCCTGACCGGGACCAGAGTAGAATACAGGAAGTCAAGAGCTGTTCTCAAGGAGGAGCTGACTTCAAGTTCATGTTCAACACAGCCAACCAGCTGTTTCCTACAGAGGAAGGATCAGTGAGAGGACCAGGAGGGACAAGGAGGTCAGTGTTTTGTGGAAGAGGATGGAGTGGCCCGGATGCAGTGAGGCCAGCCTGGGGGAGGGGAGGGGCTGCTGCCCAGGGAGGCCTGGCCTCTGGCTCCCACCCAGGGGGTCGCAGAAACAGCCAGTGGCACCAGCACAGGCTGAGGGAGGAGGCAGGGACCGGGCTTCCTGGATGTCCAGTCACAGGTATTGTGCAGCAGCCCTGAACTGAAGAATCTGAAAACCCCTCCCTTCCTAGGCTGTGGGCCCTGTTGCCGGAACACTTTCAGTTTTGTTTCTCTGCCTGCAAGAACTGAAACTTAAAACAGAAAGACTCCGGAGATCCAAACATGGAGGAAGCCTACCAGGTGTGCAGGAACTGGTAAGAAGTCGCTTTCCCTGGTGGCCGACCTGAGGCTGGCTGGTGAGAGGGGCAGACAGGATAAGTTTGTTTCTAAAGTGAAGAGAAAAGGATCCATGTGCCCAGTTGGCCAGGGTGGGCCCCTGCGGTAGGAAGATGTAAACTCAGGAGATATCAGTGAGAGATGCTCAGGGTTGGCAGACATCCCTGAACCCCGCCCCACCCCCATCTCCAGATATTGAAGACTTTCTGGGACAGTTCTACAACTAGCCAGCCAGGCTAACCATCCCTGCTGGGCTACTCCTATTTTTCAGACCAGGGGTCCTAATTTCTATGCTCTTCATACCAGTCTTTGAAAGAAAGAGGCTCAGGCAGATGGTCTGGGGCCATTCCCACCCCCACCTTTAGAGGGAGCTGTGGAGCAGGGTGAGGGGATAGAGCAGAGGTCCCAGCCCACACCTCTAAATCATGGGGACCCAACCCCTTGAGGCACCTCACTCTCGAAGCTCCCTACCTGTGACAGGAACCAGGGGGATCCCTCCCCAAGAACCTTCTCCCGCCAGACCTTCCTGGCTGTCTGGTGTTTGCACCAGCTCAGGAAAAAAGCTGAGGTGCCAGGCCGGGCAGAGGGGTAGGAATAGAGGGAGGGAGACTTTCCTGGTGGTCCAGTGATTAAGAGTCTATGCTTCCCAAAGTAGAAAAGCTTTGTACATATATATGACTAATATAATATATATTATATATTATTTATATAATTATATTATTATATATTTATAAATATATATTTATATTTATTATATAAAATTACGTATAATTTATATGCATAATATATGTATTAGTATAGTATATATATGTATATATAGTATATAGTGTATATATGTATTAGAAAACTTAAGAGTTTTTGCCTAACTAAAATATGACATTTTGATTCCACTTGCTTGACTTGGTATAAGTAGAATGCTAGATTTCTAATTTTAAAAAATAGATAAGAAACAAGCAACAAAGGTTTACTGTATAGCACAGGGAACTATAGTCAATATCTTGTAATAACCTATAATGGAAAATAATCTGAAAAATAATATATATATTGGGTTTCCCTGGTGTCTCAGACACTAAAGAATCTGCCTGGCAATGCAGAAGACACAGATTCGATCCCTGAGTCGGGAAGATCCCCTGGAGAAGGGAATGGCAACCCACTCCAATACTCTTGCCTGAGAAATCCCATGGGTAGAGGAGCCTGGCGGGGCTACCGTCTATGGGGTCGCAAAGAGTCACAGCGGAGCAACTAAACCTCAGTCTTCCACATTGCAGGCAGATTCTTTACTATCTGAGCCACCAGGGAAGCCCAGGTTAGAAGTCAAAGACACAGTCAGATGCTTTTGAGACAAAGGATCATAAATCAAAATGACATACTGGTATTTTGCATAAAGTTCAGCAAGCATACCTACCTATAGAACAGGTAAGCACATACAAACAGTACTGGGTGAGCAGTGAGGCACTGCGACTGAGCACAGATCTAAGAGAGAACACTATTCTTTAAAGTTATATTTCTGGCATCAGAAGAAAGAAAAAAAGAAACGGTTGAGCAGGCTCTTCCATCTATGAGGCACTCTGGTTAATGTGTAGTACAGATGCACATGAGGGAGGGAGGAGGCCCAAACACACACAGAGAGTTTTATCTTTAATTTGTTCTTGTCCTGCCTTAAAATATAAATTTTATTTCATCAGTCACAATCAAGACAATGAAACTATTCATTACCTCCCAAAGTTTTTCTTGTTCCTTTGTAATCGCTCCCTCCTGCTCCTTCTCGCTCACCGTGCTCACCCTGGGCAACGTAAGAGCTTTGCAGAGCATCCTTACCATTATGTCATGATTCAGCATTGTTCTGATTTGAGATCAACATGGGGAAGGCGAGGCAGGTGGTCTCGTCATCATATTTTCAGTGCTTGAGGCCTTGGAAGAACTTCATCCAGGAGCTCCGGGTATAAAATATGGCTCCATCTTTATACCATGAAATAAACCTGCTTTTCCTCCCTCTTAATCCTGCAGCAAAAGAAGGGTGGCCTCCAACCTCCTGGCCCTCCATGAGGCCCACTGCCTGGTATTTCTGGTCCTCTGCCCAGAGTGCAAGGAACACGTCCTATGGGATAAGATGGAAGAACACCGCCAGGGCGGGCACCAGCAGGTGGGGAGGCAGACTAGGGGACGGAGGTGGAGGGACAGGGTCCTCTCTGCAGCCCATCTCATGACTACAAGCCGCTCAGCCCCCGCGCCCAGCCCCCTGTGCAAAGTGGAAAGGATAGATAATCCTGCCTTTCCTGTACTGCCACCTGGGCTTCCCTGGTGGCTCAGACGGGTAAAGAATCTGCCTGCAATGCTGGAGACCTGGATTCCATCCCTGAGTTGGGAAGATTCAAGGGAATGACAACTCACTCCAGTATTCTGGCCTGGAGAATGCCATGAACAGAGGAGCCTGGCGGACTGCAGTCCATGGGATCGCAAAGAGTCAGACATGACTGGGCCACTAACACTTGTTTCCTGTACTGCATCGAGTCGACCCCGGTTTCCCATTCCCAATTTTTCCCTACAGGCGTATGAGGTTGGCCAAGACTAGGGGTCCCTGTTTTAGGAAAAGTAAAATGTTCTTTTGAGATGTGTCAAGAGGAGAAACAAGAAAGTGGAGCTTGGAAGGCAGTCATGGCCAAGGTTGGTCAAAGGCTGACCTTTCTCTCTAGCTGTTTCTGGAGCTCCTCAAGCTCAGGCATCCATCTCGGCTCATCTCCCACAAATGCATCCCTGAGCTCAGGGCTGGTGCTGCAGGCAGAGGAGGGTGACTGACTTGCCCCCAGGTGCTCACAGACCCACCCCGGACACATGGAGCCAGGGTGGGACTCGAGCACCTCCCTCCGCATTTAGGTGGGATGCGCCACATGTCAGCAGAGCATGCCGAAGGACTTGCTGGAGAGTCATAAGGTGAGGGGCAGGTGTGATTTCTTCTGCCAAGCCCAGGAGGAGGGGAGGGGGCCGGTCATAAATCTCCCCCCTCCTGCCCCCAGCTCTCTCTTCTCTCCCAAGCAGGCCTGGAACTAGCTTATCACAGCAACACAGGGCTTCCTGCCCCCAGACACTGGTCAGAAGGGACTGCCAGGGTCCGAGACAGCTCATGTTCCCCTTGCAAGGAGAAGCCCCTCTCCCACAACCCTCTCCCACCCCCCACCCTCTAGTCTTTCCCACCTGCTTTCTCTTACTGGCTTCAGCCCCCCCCCCCCCCCCCCCCCCCCCCACCNTCCATTCTAGGGGATCTTCCCGACCCAGGAATCAAACCCACATCTCTTACGTCTCCTGCCTTGGCAGGCAGGTTCTTTACCACTAGCACCACCTGGGAAGCCCCATATATACACTGCCAAGTGTAAAATAGATAACTATAAGGAAGCTGCTGTATTATGCAGGGAGCCTAGCCCGGTGCTCTGTGACAACCTAGAGGGGTGGAAAGGGGTGGGGAGGGAGGTTCAAGACGGAGGGGATGAACATATAATTATGACTGATTTGAGCTGCTGTATGGCAAAGACCAACACAATATTGTAAAGCAATTTTCCTCCAATAAAAAGAAACTTTTCAAATTTATAAAAATAAATGACTGATCCAGGGAGCCAAGAAGTCAGGGGTTGGGGAGCTAGGAACTACGCAGATGAGTACAGAGGCAATGGGGCCCTACCACATGGGAGGCTGCCTTTGAACTCCTCCAGCATGACTGCAGCCTGGCAGAGACCCACCTGAATCCTTGTAGAGACGAGAAACCTATGCAGAGTGAAACAGGGGCTTGCTGGAGGCAGAAACCAGATAGGATACCCAAGTTCCCTGACACAAAATCAGGAACTTTCCCACCATCAGCCCCAGACAGAAAGGATCCAGTTGTCACTCCTGACCTTTGGGCCTATGTGTTGGCCACCTGGTGCCCCAGCGTGCTCTCTTTACCCAGTTACCTCTTCATGAAGTGTGTTTACAGAGAACACGAGCCAAACCCATCTTCTCACTGGTTGTTTTAGTAACAACAGTAGCATGGGGACAGAGCCAAAAATCCCTTGGGCGGTAGGTAAGTCTCTCCGGGTAAATGATTTTATCAAAATCGGCAAATGAAAAACTGGGGTGCTTAAGATTCAAGTACATTTCCAGCAGGCCTGGGTTTCAACACAGCCAACAAACAACTCTTCAGCATAACTTCGTCAATACAACACAACTTCAACAAGACTGCACGACTTCAACAAGACTGCACAGCTTCAACAATAGCACAACTTCAACAAGACAATGCAACTTCATCAACACCATACAACTGCATCAACACAACACAAATTCAACAAGACAGCACAACACAACTTCAACACAATCAACAACGATGTGTGCAATTAACTCCTCATTTGATCACAGAGCTTGGAAATGGCTAAACTGAAAGGGCAGTCAGGTTGAACAGCACTGGCATCTGTGGTAACAGCTCCTTCTGTCTCCTTGGAAACCAGTCCTGCTCCAGGAAAACGTCTCTTCATCAGGACTGTGCGCTGCCTCAAGGGCACTTTTACGATTTAATGGAAATAATGTGGGTGATTCCAGTTGTGGGTGGTCCATGTGACCAAGGACCCTGGCAGTGCAGGACACTCATGGCAGACTCGGGACAAGGCATCCTCAGGACTGCAGGCCACATAGTGAGGCAAATGTGGGGCAGTCGGGCGGGCCATTGTCAAGGGCAATCATTTGTGCTGTTGTTTCTGTGCTTTTTCAGGGAAGAGCATTCCAGCTCCTGAAAGCAACATCTCCTGTCATTATTGCAACCAAATGATTCCAGGAAATAAGTATTTCCACCATCTGGTGAGTAGAAATTTGTCACTTTCTAATGATGCCAATAGCCAGTCCATATTCCAAAAAGTATGATATGAACAGTAGATTCTTTTTGAAATTCATTCATTTTATTTATTTACTTATTGGGTGCACTGGATCTTCATCGTAGCCTTCATCGCAGGTTTCTCATTGCTGTGACATCTCTTGTTGCTGAACATGGGCTCTAGATGCGTGGGCTTCAGTAGCTGTGGCGCCTGGGCTTAGTTGCTCCATGGCATGTGGGGTCTTCCTGGACCAGGGATTGAACCTGTGTCCTCTGCATTGGCAGGTGGATTCTTAACCACTGGACCACCTGGGAAGTCTTGAATGGTAGATTCTGGGTCTAGTTTTACACAGCATGAATATTAAGGGTTCCCATATTTCGTTTTGCTTTGTTCAAAAAAGGACATCGTGAACTGCTTTAGGTTCATTTAGCACACGTAATTGGATTCCAATCATGCCAGCCCTTCAAGGAGCCTCCCTAACCAATCCAGCTATCACTGATCACCTCTGAGGGCCTGGACATTGCAAGTTAGGCCTTAATAGGCTCTGCTTTATTATTCTCTATCCCATGTCCCTGGTGGCTCAGATGGTAAAGAATCCACCTGCAGTGCGGGAGACCTGGGTTCAGTCCCGGGGTTGGGAAGATCCCCTGGAGGAGGGCATGGCAACCCACTCCAGTATTTTTGCCTGGAGAATCCCCATGGACAGAGGAGCCTGGCTGCATAGAGTTGCAAAGAGTCAGACACGCCTGAGCAACGAAGCACAGCACAGCACATCCCATGTGGAAGTCTCCTCTATCAGGCAGTGAGCTTCCCCAAAAAAGTCAATAGCTTTCTCCATCTTCCCACAGTGAAGCTGATATCAGGGCTGGGTACCAAAAGCAGGACTCTGAAAGAATATAATGATGTGATGGATTGATTGATTGCTTTTGCCTGGGAAAATTCACAGACTCCTCCTTCCATCACTCTAAGCACCTTTTAGTGCATTAGTCAGGCCAAGCTGCTCCTCTCTTCTACAGGATGGAGCATTTTCTTTGGGGGATTCTCCCCAAAGCATCTCTCCAAAGAACTCACATCCTTCTTCATGAATGGCAAACTGTTTGTCCTTTCTTTACCCTTCAATCCAGAGAACAATGCATATCAGAACTAAAGAAATCCTATAGATGATCTAGGTCTTTTTGTTTATTGTGAACCATACATATAAAATTTACTATTGGTGACATTTAGTGCATTTTAATTGGAATACTTGACTTAAAATCTAAATTACATTCCCTACCCTCCACAGAAACAATATATGGATTTGAAAACATGCTGATTGATTCTCTATTTCCACCTTTTATGTATTAATAAATGCTGTGGAATTTAGTTTCACCTGGTTTTTTAACTATTCCTCTTTAGTCATTATTATTACTGTCATTTTATCCAATTCATGCCTGCTTGGATATACTCATACATTTACCTCTCTCTTTGCTGACATTCCTCCTTTTTAAAATATTGTATGGATTTATTTTGGCTGCATTGGGTCTTAGTTGTGGCATGTGGAATCTTTATTGCAATGTGAGGGCTTCTCTCTAGTTGCGGCACGTGGGCTCCAGAGCATTTGGGCTCAATAGTTGAAGTGCACTGTGGCACGTGGGATCTTAGTTCCCTGATCAGGGATCAAACTCGAGTCCCCTGCATTGCAAGGCAGATTCTTACACTGCACCACCAGGGAAGTCATGGATCCAAAGCTTTCTTGAATCCCAAGCTTTCCTTCTGGGCAAGATTTCTGTCATCCTGAAATACATGTCTAGGTATCTTTAGTTATCTGCATAGTTACTTCCTTTATTCTGCATTCTTGAATGTTAGTTTAATTGGATTTCAAATTCTCCATTAACCTTTATTTTCTCTTAGCATTTTGAAGCATTTCCACCATCTTCCCACCTCTCTGATCGCTGTTGATAAGTCTGCTCTCAGTGTAGCTGCTGGTCCTTCGCCAATGACCATTTTTTTTTTGCTGGATTTCAAGATCCCCTTTGCTTTGGATCTTCTGTGGTTTCACTGCAATGTATCCAAGAGAAGATTTATTTTTATTCATCCTGCTTAGGACAATAGGCTCAGATGTGTTTGTTTGTTTGTTCTCCTCTCTCTCTTCTTCAGAATTTATCACCTCATGAACAATATCTAGTCCAAGGTAGACAAGCTTTCTTGTCATTTTTTTGTGACCCCATAGACACACTGGAGTGGGTAGCCATTCCCTTCTCCAGGGGATCTTCCCGACCCAGGGATCGAACTCAGGTCTCCCACATTGCAGGCAAATTCTTTACCAGCTGAGACACAAGGGAAGCCCAAAAATACTGGCACGGGTAACCTATCCCTTCTCCAGCGGATCTTTCCAACCCAGGAATGGAACATGGGTCTCCTGCATTGCAGGCGGATACCAGCTGAGCTACCAGGGAAGCCCCTTAGGGCAATAGGCTCATATGTGTTTGCTTTTTTTTTTCCTCTCTCTCTCTTCTTCAGAATGTATCACCTCATGCTCAATTTCTAGTCCAAGGTAGACGAGATTTCTTGTCATTTCCCTTTTCCAGTTAGTCAATTTTTGTCTCTTGGCCACCATAGTTCAGACTTCAACATTCCCAGCTTCGTGCAGGGAAGGGGGACTCTTCCAATTTCACACATCATGTGGATGGGACTTTTCTCTCATCCAAGCTCTTAGTCATGAGATTGACCCTGCAATCTCCTCCTAAAGGGTTACCTCATGTGCTTAACGGGTAGGTCTTCTTTCCTGGAACATGAGTTTGCTTGCTTCCTTGCAAAGTCAGCTCAATGAATGTTTGTCATATTATATCCAGCATTTCTAAAGTATTTGGAGTGGGAAATTTTCAGGTTAGCTCGCCTACTGTATTGTCCACCATTAAAACTGAGGTCATTTAAAAATTTGATGCTTGACTCACCCTTGCAGGATAGATGCCGTCGAGTCTCAGGTGCTGTGACATATTCTCCAGCAGGAAAACCAGAAACTCCTCCTTCATCCCCTCCAAGTCGGGCTGCTGAAGACCAGACTTCCAAGGCAGAGAAAGATGTCCGTCCAAAGCTGAAAAATAGACACAGTGCTCCCTTTCTTCCTGAAAAGTCAACAAGGCAAGCGCCACGAAGCACAAACAAAACCACGAATCTGTCTTTGACGTCCAATGGCAAGCTCAGAGCCTCCTCTCCTGTAGAAGATGAGACAGCCTATGACATTCTGCGGAGATGTTCTCAGTGTGGTATCCTACTTCCCCTGCCAACCCTAAACCACCACCAGGTACTCAGCCTCTGTTCCCTCCATACCCAGCTGTGAGCCATCAGGACAGTGTTTAAAGAAATGCACGTCCTGCAAGCTGTCCTCAGACAACACTATCTCCCCTTTCTCTGTGTGTCCAGATCCACTCTCGGCACTTATCACCTGTTTATATATGTTCTTCACCTCCCATTTCTGATGGCAGAGCCAACCTCTCATCTCTATCTCCAGTGCCCAGCCAAGTTACTGACCACAGCAAATGCCCCCAAACCATGGAGCAAACAAATGAATAGAGGGCATCCAGTCTAGCCCTCTCATGGCGTAGATAAGGCAACTGCAGTCCAGAGATCAGAGCCTTGGTCAAGACCCTAAGTCAGTTGGTATCTTGCCTCCAATAGATTAAGGTTTACCTCCAGTAGCTCAGGATTTGCAGCCTCAATAACCTGATTTTTCACATCCTAGATTACTTTCCAATAAAGAAGAATTAGCATTAGAGGTAGTTAACCGTTATGCACTAGTTACAATGCAAAGCAGGGCTTCCCTGGTGGCTCAGCTGGTAAAGAACCTGCCTGACAACGCAGGAGATGCAAGAGACGTGGGTTTGATCCCTGAGTTGGGAAGATCCCCTGGAGAAAGAAATGGCAACCCGCTCCAGTATTCTTGCCTGGAGAATCCCATGGACCGGGGAGCCTGGTGGGCTACAGTCCACGGGGTGGCAAAGCTCTTTAAAAATGGTTAATCATTATGAACATCAGGAAGGTATTTTACCCCTACCTTATAGATAAGGAAACTAAACAGAAAGGTCGAGTGGCTTCCCCAGGATTTCACAATTAGAGAGTCGCAGAATCCAGCCAGCTATACATGTGGATATAGTTCCAAAGCTTATGCTCTCAAGCCCCAAAAAGGATGTCTCACTTTAAAATATTTTCATTATTTGATGTTTTTCAGAATACAAAAGTTGTTGTTGTTGTTCAGTAGCTAACTCACGTCCATCTCATTGCAACCCCATGCGAGGCTTCCCTGTCCTTCACCATCTCCCAGAGTTTGCTAGTACTAGATACTAGATTTTGTTGTAACCATTTGACATGATACCATACAAACAAACATAAAGATAAAGCTAATCCTCCCCCACACCCACCCCACCTCCCAAGTCCCATGCCATGAAGTACTAGTTTCAGGTGGGTGTCCTTCCAAAACTTCACCTCTGTTCACAAAACTCTGACAAGCCTCCATGGGGTTTGAATTGCTTTTCTTCCCCCATATATCATCTTCCCAGACTCATGACTCCACCGTTTGCCTTTTTTGCTGAATATATGATGCACACGCCTTACAAAGAAGTAGACCTAAATCTTGTTCTTTCTAACTTCTTTAAGCATCTCTATATGCACACAAGCACACAATTTTACCAAGCTGAGTGAATTTCATACTTGCTGAGGGTGCTATTAGTGCCATATTCCCTTGTCTCCTACAATTGAAATTTTCTTCCATACTTCCTTCCATCCTTAATGATGGGCATGCTGAATTTAGCAAAGAAAAAAATCATTACTTGGGACAAAAATAACTATAAAATAATTTCATGGGACATACTCATATTAAGGAAAATTCTTTGTCTCTCTGAAATTAAAATCTAACTGGACAGCCTGTATTTTATCTGGCAACTCTATTATATAACAGCACACACACACACACACACACACACACACACATTTGGAGTCCAATTGTACACACTGCTTGTATAGGATTCATCAATAACCAATAATAAGAAGGGCAACCCTCCAAGTCAAATAATGTTGCCCCTCCCTTTTCTTTTTTAATGTTGTAAGCGTCCATGAGGACTCCCTAGAGGCTCAGACCATGGACTCTTATGTGTGTGACTGATAGTTGCTCAGTCGCGTCTGACTCTGCGACCCCATGGATCGTAGCCTGCCAGGTTCCTCTGTCCATGAATATTCTCCAGGCAAGAACACTGGAGTGGGTTGCCATTCCCTTCTCCAGGGGATCTTCCCAATCCAGGGAATGAACTCAGTCTCCCGCATTACAGGCGGATTCTTTACCATCTGAGCCCCCAGGGAAGCCATAGCGTGGGTATCCTCTCATCTGTTCATCCACCCTCCTGATGATGACAGGCCTCTATTAAACACTGTCCCAAACCTCCCATGGACCCCTCCTGGTTCACTGGACTCCCTTTTCTTCTCTTTTTTCTTTTCTTTTTTTACATTTTTATTGGAGTACAGTTGCCTTACAATATTGTGTTAATTTCTGCTGTGCAGCAAAGTGAATCAGTTATGCGTATGCATGTTTCCTCTTTTTTAGGTCCTTTTTCCATATAGGTCATTACAGAGTATTGAGTAGAGTTCTCTGTGCTAAACAGTAGGTTATCATTAGTCGTCTCTTTTATACATTGTTGTTGTTGTTTAGTCCGTAAAAAAAATGTGGAAGTGTGAGTCACTCAGTTGTGTCCAACTCTTTGAGACCCCGTGGACTGTAGCCCACCAGGCTCCTCTGTCCATGGGATTCTCCAGGCAAGAATACTGAAGTGGGTTGCCATCTCTTTCTCCAGAGGATCTACCCCACCCAGGATCAAACCCATGTCTCGTGCATTGCAGGCAGATTCTTTACCCCTGAACCACCTGGGAAGCCCTCTTTTATCCATAGTAGTGTATATATGTCAATCCCAGTCTCTCAATTCATCCTACCCTCCTCTCTCCCACCCCACCCCCACTTGGTATCCATAAATTTGTTCTCTACATCAGGGTCTCTATTTTTGCTTTGCAAATACATTCATGTCTACCTATGACTCTTCTATGACATCTACAGCTCAGAGTCCCTGCTCCAGGAACTGGGGATATGTTTAACCAGTGATATCCCAGGAACTAACACTTTATACACCTTGAACTTTTTAAATATCCATTTCTTTAGGAGAAATGCCAGCGGTTAGCTTCATCAAAAGGAAAACAAGTGAGAAGTTCCAGCTAGCTTTGGGAAAGGTAAAACAGATTTTGAAGATTTTGTTTTTACACTGGTTTTTCTGCTTGCTTTCTGTGCTAGTTTGTACTTGTGAAAAGAGGTTTTATGCACTGGGTTTCCTTCTTGTCGAAGAATGTTTGGATTTTAATCATATTCCTCCTTTTGAACAGAGATGTTGGTTTGCCCAAGAGCTACAGCTAAACCAGGAGGAAAAGAGAATGCCAACTCTTCTGCCTGAGAATTCTGATCAAGCATCTAGGCCTAACCCAGCCTGGACACCTTGGGAAATCCAGCTTTATCTCTGAAGAATAAAAAAGATCTTCCTGAAAGCCTGTCCTCCACCTTTCTTTAGATTTTTCTCTGGTTCTCCAGGGCTGGGGGTGGGTGGGGTGGGGAAGCAGCGGCTAGGACGGCATGGGAAGGGGAGCGGCAGAAAATGAGAGAGAAAGGAAGAGAAAAATGAGGTTGGGTGGTGGGGGGAGCCAGGTAATGCACGAAGAGGTGCCAGTTGTGGCCGCTGGCAGGGGGAGCAGCTGGGAAACACCCAGAGAAGCAGCCCCCTCCCCGCAAGGAGCAGAGCCCTAACTTTCTGCCTGGCCTGAGGGGAGACCTGTTAGGGCACCAGCTCCCACAGGGAGGACAGAGCCCAGGACAGTGGGTGCTTGGGTGCACCCTCACCCACCCAAAACTGCAGATGTGTGACCTTTCTCAAGCTTTGTCAGGTTTGCTTAAGGCTTTCTTTGGATCCTAGTGGCTCAGACGGTAAAGAATCCGCCTGCAGGGCCGGAGACCGAGGTTCCATCCCCGGGTTGGGAAGATGCCCTGGAGGAGGGCATGGCAACCCACTCCAGTATTCTTGCCTGGAGAATCCCCATGAACAGAGAAGCCTGGCGGGCTACAGTCCACTGGTTGCAAAGAGTCAGAAGCGACTGAGTGACTAACAGTAAGGCTGGGTTGGCAGTGGCTTTGGCTTCCCAGAGAGGGTCCCCGGGAATGGACAGGAACCCAGGGCTGGATCCGGACAGGAAAGGTGGCGAACGATCGGGCCTGCACAACCCAAGTCCTGGGCAGAACCTCTTCCCGGCGTGCAGAGGGGCCGGGCAGGGGGCAGGGACTGTGGGGCCCAGCCCCCTGCCTCCCGTCCCGGGCCAGGGCCCCTCCCCGGCCGTCTGCGGGGTGGGGAGACCTGTCTTGGCCCCTCGACCTGCGCGATCACCCCGGGTTTGGGCCCCGCGGCCTTGGGGATGAGCAGACCCCCGCAGGTGGCGGCGCGTCACAAAGGCGGCGGGCCGCTGGGCCTCTAGCCTCGGCCGGGCAGCGGGCGGCGGAGTTGGCGGCGGAGCCGAGGCGGCGCGGGCGGAGCAGGCCTGGCGCTCGCGGTCCCTGCAGCCGGAGAAGCAGGGCCCCGCGTACTGGTAACGCGCGGGGCGGGGTGGGGGCCCCTCCTCTCCCGCCGCCCCGGGGAGGCTCCTGGGTTCTCTCCGCACCCCGGTGATGGAACACCCAGGTTTCCTCCCAGGCTCGGCAGCTGTGTGAGGGAGTGAACCCAACCTAAGTTCACGCGTCTGCGTTCGAATCCTGCTCCCCACTTACCCATCTCATTTTCCTAACCTTTCAACACCTGTTTCCCCACTCGTAAATACCTTCCTTACAGGGATGTTATTTAGAAGCACGTTGGCACCAACCTTCTGATGGCAGCAAACACTTGTGTAACATTTACTGTATGTCAGTCACTGTTCTAGTGTTTTCCGTCTATCAGCCCATTTAATCCCCCCAACGCTAGGAGAAAGGAACAATTACCCCTATCAACAGAAATGTGGCGGGGCTTCCCAGGTAGTGCTAGTAGTAAAGAATCCTCCTGCCCATACAGGAGACAAAAGAGACACAGGTTCGATCCCTGGGTGCGGAAGATCCCCTGGAGTAGGAAATGGCAACCCACTCCAGTATTCTTGCCTGGAATATCCCATGGACAGAGGAGCCTGATGGGCTCCATGGGGTCGCTAAGAGTCTGGACACAATAGGGCACACACACACACAGTTACATACTGCAGTTGACAGAACCAGAATCTAACCCACTAATCTACATTGCCTCTTGAGGGGTAGGGTAGGTTCTGGGTAATGACGTGACTTTTGCAAGGCTTGCAACACCATTCCCAACCCACCAAAGAAGTTCTTCCAGCCCCACCCTATGGTTTAAAGTGTCTGATAACTATTCTGACCCTGTTACCTTGTTGAGGCAAAGGACTTCAATTAGCTTTTGAATTGGTTTAGCTTTTTTATTTTTTTTTTCTTTCCTTGGCAGCACTGTGAGTTCTCTGGGATCTTAGTTCCCTGTCCAGGGATGGAAACTGTGCCCCCTACAGTGGAAACCAGGAGTCAACCACTGGACCACCCTGGAATTCCCTGGTTTTAGCTTTTCTTGTCCACCTCTTAGGGCTTCCCTGGTAGCTCAGCTGATAAAGAATCACCTCCAGTACAGGAGACCCCAGTTCAATTCCTGGGTCGGGAAGATCCCCTGGAGAAGGGATAGGCTACCCACTCCAGTATTCTTGGGCTTCCCCGGTGGCTCAGATGGTAAAGAATCTGCCTGCAATGCGGGAGACCTGGGTCCAATCCCTGGGTTATAGGTGACTTGCTCTACGCTAAGTGCTGTGGGATGCCCTAGCCCCGGACAGTTTATATGTGAAGAAAGACACACTCTTTTTTCTTCATTAGTTAAAACACTTCCTTAAAAGAAGAATGAGGCTGTTCCTCGTCCCAAGGAGTGTGTGGGTTTCATAGAAGAGAAAGGCTTCAACATTGAGAGGGGAAGGAGAAGGGGGCGGGCTGAACCCACCAGAGCCCTGATCCTGGCTGGGGATAGGCTGCTTCCGATTTCCATGCAGAGGTCTATCTGGGTGAGAGATGGGAGGGCCAGCTGGAGGAAGGGACCAAATTGTTCAGTAGGTGATGATGGGGTAGTGAGGATAAAGGCATGGGGGAAACCTACAGGATCGCACTTGAGGATGCTCATCGCCACTGTGGTGTTAAGGAGAGCTGGAAGAGGCCCAGGGGCCCCTCATGGGGAGAATGAATAGGAGACTATCCACCACTAGATCTACTCAGATGACAGATGCAGTGTGAGATGTACACAGGGCAACGTGAGTGATGCTTACAGACATGGAACACACATTTGGCAAGCACAGGCACAAACAAAATGAAGCACATCAAACACACTGGAATAGTTGCCTATGGCGGGGAACGGTGAAGTGGAACATTGAGTTAAAAGGGAATAGATGAATAAATGGGCTTCCCTCATGGTTCAGACAGTAAAGAATCTGCCTGCAATGCAGGCGACCCTGGTTCGATCCCTAGGTGAGGAAGATCCCCTAGAGAAGGGAATGGCTACTCACTTCAGTATTCTTGCCTGGAAAATCACATGGACAGAGGAGCTTGGTGGGCTATAGTCCATGGGGTCACATGGAGTCATAAAATCAAAGAGAGTTCTTGCACAGACGAATCTCTGTCCTGAACTGAAAATTATAATTAACTTTTCCCTCTGCATCCAAGACCTGATAAGTAGAGCCAGAAAAAAGTACAAGAGAAAATAAGAAAGCCCAGGTCTAGCCTCGGTCCTGTTACTAACTTACTGTGTGACCATAGGCAAGCCCCTTCACTTCTCTGTGCCCAGTTTCTATCTGTTAAAAAAAAAAAAAATTAAATTCTCAGGTCTCTTACAACTCTGAGTTTTTATGAGCCACAATGAATAAAGAAATCAATAAAAGCTTTATGGAGTCATAGGCCTTAAACCTTAAAATTGGAGGGTTGGAGAGAGGTAGAAAAAAGGAGGGTAGTTATCAGGCAGGAGAAACTCTGATAGCAAAGCCATGAAGATTACAGCAGATGGCTATGAAAAGTCTGACCTAGGGCTCAGTGTATCTGCTAGGGCCTTACCCCAGCTCTTCCCTGGGACTCCCTAGCTTGACCGAGGTACCACCTGCAATTCAATCAAGTCAGAGACCTTCCAGTCTTCCCATTTCTCTGTTCACCAGTTGCCAAATCATGTCCACTAAAAAACTCACAATTCACCCTGATTCCCACTATCATGCTGCCCCAGTCCCAGGCTTCAAGCCTGGACTCTGCTCTAGACCATCCTTCCTCCACTCCCCTAGAGTATACTTTCTTTACCTCAAGACTGTCTACATCACTTCTGGGCATGAGATCCTTAGACCTGCCCTGATGTCAGCCAAGGTTCTCCACCTTTGTTCTGCAGCTGTGCCTTTTGAATAGAGACACATGTGTGCACAACTAGTTGCTTCAGTCCTCTACAACTCTTTGCCACCCCATGGACTGTAGCCTGCCAGGCTCCTCTGTCCATGGGATAGTAGTGGGTTGCCATGCCCTCCTCCAGGTGAACTTCCTGACCCAGGGATCGAACCCATGTCTCTTATGTCTCCTTCATTGGCAGGTGAGCTCTTTACCACTAGCATCACCTGGGAAGCCCCGAATAGAGGCACAGCTATCAGCAGTGTTGCTCAACACAATGATTCATCCAGAGAAGATGTCAGAATTCCTCTAGGGCACAGCCTTTATCACATCATTCAGAGCATCTTGAAAGATGTCCTTGAGCCAGCATCTCCCACTGCCCCAGATCCAGGTTCATCACTCCTTGCCTGTCACAAATTAAGCTTCAAACAACTGTTAATTCCCTGAATATGAACACATGTGAACATGAACACATCACATATGCTCACATCCTGTGGCTTCGCCCATCTTGTTCCCTCTTCCCGGAATATACCAGATCCTCCACCACCAACCTATCTGCTTTGCAAACAGCTATTCACCCTGCAAACCTCAGCTCAGTTGCCACCTCCTCCAAGCAGCCCTCTCTACAACTTCTCACCCAGAAAGAATTAATCATGCTTTGTTTGTGCTACCCTGCACCATGAATGGGCTTCCCAGGTGGCTCAGTGGGTGAAGAATCCTTCTGCCAATGCAGGAGACGCAAGAGACGTGGATTTGATTCCTGGGTCGGGAAGATCCCCTGGAGGAGGAAATGGCAACCCACTCCAGTATTCTTGCCTGGAGAATCCCATGGACAGAGGAGCTTGGTGGGCTACAGTCCATGGGGTCACAAAGAGTTCAGACACGACTGAAGCGACTGAGCAGAGACAGAAACACCACAAATATACCTGAGCCTTTTCTCGTCTCCCACAGTGTTGTAACGTGAGTCCTGGTCTGTGTTCCCACTAGACCCCTGCTGGTCTGTGAATCCTTGTGGGTGTGCACTGTATGGTTTATTCTTTGTCCCCCGTGCACCAGCCCAGTACTGACACATGGGGCTGCAGAACAAGTTCATTGCATTAGGTTTAATATGTGTTTGGCAGGTAATGGTCTTCCTTTTTACTCTCCACAGAAAATAAGTGATTGCTTTTCTTTCTTCATTTTTGGAAGCCCTGCCCACCACGCAGCTGCAGTGGACATCCTGGTTCCCCGATGGATGAAGAAGACCAACTGATCCAGCCTCAAGACCAGAGCTGCTGGGCCACCCTGCCCGATGTGTGCCTGCGTCGTGTCTTCTGGTGGCTGGGAGACAGGGACAGGTCCAGAGCAGCCCTTGTCTGCAGGAAGTGGAACCAGATGATGTATTCGGCTGACCTCTGGCGATACAGGACCATCACGTTCAGTGGGAGACCTTCCAGGGTACACGCATCTGAATTCGAGTCAGCCCTTTGGTATGTTAAGAAATTTGGTCGTTACCTGGAGCACCTGGAGATCAAATTCCTGAATCCTTACAACGTTGTCCTGACCAAGAAGTTCCAGGTCACCATGCGAGGCCTCCTCTCATGTCTGGGCAAGAGTAACAACCGTCTGAAATCTCTCTCCATCCAGCATCTCGAGTTGGACCGCCTGGTCTGGAGGAACAGCATCAGGAGCTCATTCATGAAAAGCTTGAGCTTCTTCTTGAAGAAGATGGGCAGACACCTGAACTATCTCAGCCTGAAGGGAGCCAGGCTTACCACGGAACAAGGCTGCCACATCCTCAATGCCCTGAGCTACTTAAGGAATGAGAGCACGGTGTCAGAGCTCAACATCGAGGACTATTTCAGCCACCACCTCGCTGTCTACAGCAGTCCCCAGTTCAATAAGACCATGGCCACGTTCCGCAACCTGGTGTTCCTGACCCTCAACTACAACTGCATCTCTGACGAGCTGCTGGAGAACCTGTGCGACAACACTGCGGGCACCCTCCGTACCATGAACATCAAGTGCCACATTCATGACCCCCATGGGCAGGTCATCTGGGGCATGTCTTGGGCCAAGCTGGCCAGGCACGCCACCAGCCTGAAGGTCAACTTCTTCTTTGAGCGGGTCATGAAGTACGAGCGCTTGGCCCGGATCCTCTTGCAGGAGATCCCCATCAGGAGCATCAGTCTGAGAAGCTGCTATTTCAGCGACCCCGACTGGTCCATGAGACCCACGCTGACAGATCTCCTGCCCACCTTCCGGCACACTCTGCAGGTAGGTACGACCCGAGGGCCGGGAGGCCTGGAAAGAGTGGCCACCCCTCTGGTTCCTGCTACCTGCTCTCGAAAAGTGCAAGTGTTAGATGCTCAGCCATGTCCGACTCTTTTATGACCCTGTGAACTGTAGCCTCCCAGGGTCCTCTGTCCATGGGATTCTCCAGGCAAGAATACTAGAGTGGGTTGCCATTTCCTTCTCCAGGGGATCTTCCTGACCCAGGGATCGAACCCAGGTCTCCTGCAATGCAAGCAGCTTCTTTACCATCTGAGCCTTCAGGGAAGCCTTAAATTGAGATTCTGAGAAAGGTCACCAAGCTACGCCTCTCCTGGTCCCCAAGACCACAGCAGAGGACAAAAGCTACTGCTCGCTTCTTGTACATGAAACCCACTCTTGGTTGACTGTCCACCAAGGAAAGCGCCTATATCCCTGGCTCAGAACTCTGAGGTCCGAGCATGCAGGTGCCCCCACCAGTGACCAGCAGGTCGGCAGCCCCTTCCACTCATCCACCCAACACAGAAGCACACAGGACACAGTGCGGTTCCAAACCAGACAAAAAACCAAACTTGACCAAGTTACCGAAGAGCTCAGTGGTGTGGGCTATTCTCTAATCTGGCAGCTCCCCATCTATAACATCAGCATCATTTTGTCCCCTACTAAGGACCTCACAATCTTCTCAAGTGGCTCAGTGGTAAAGAATCCATGACTACCAATGGAGGAGATGCAGTTTGCAGTTTCGATTCCTGGGTTGGGAAGATCCCCTGGAGAAGGGCATGACAACCCATTCTGGTATTCTTGTCTGGAGAATCCCATGGACAGAGGAGCCTGGCAGGCTACAATCCAGGCGATCACAAAGAGTCAGACACAACTGAGCAACTGAATAACAAGGACCTCACACAAGGCTGTGAGGATGGATATACAGGGGTATATACACCATTACTGGGACTTTCCTGGGGGTCCTGTGACTAAGCTTCCACACTCCCAATGCAGGGGACCCAGCTTTGATCCATGGTCAGGGAACTAGATCCCATATGATGCAACTAAGAGTTTGCATGCCACAACAAAGACCCAGTGCAGTCAAGTAAATTAATTAATTTATACCACTTAATAAATTTATAATTATATAATAAATAAGTGATAAATTAACAAATTTATTAATAGACTTATAAATTAAGAAACACCAATACTTACAGTGAGGGATGACAAAATGTGAAGAGGTCATTTATGCTCACACATCTCTGAAGTGGGCAGGCAGACATCATACCACCTTTTGGTGTTGCCCATAGTCACCTGGCCGGTCCACTGCAGGGCCAGGAACACCACCTTGGTCTCCAGACTCTAAGTTCACTGCCTCAAAACTCCAAGTTTTGGAAACTTGGATGAGATCACTTGCATTCCCAAATCCCTTCCTCTGACAACTGCATGTCCAGTGTCCCTTATCTAAGGCACTGGAGGGGATTTCCCCAGTGGGCCAGTGGTTGAGACTCCGCTTCCACTACAGGAAGCATGGGTTCCAACCCTGGTCCTGATCAGGGAAACTAGGTTCCCGTATGCTGCGTGGCATGGCCAATAAATAAGTAAAACACTTGAACCACCACGGCCACCAGGCCAGTGCTGGATCATGAAAGTGCTATGAAATGATCCAGCTAAGTCCCGGCATCTCTGTTCACATTGTCTGCCCCATTGGTGCTTTTCTAGAAACTAACTTTTGAATTCAACAACAATCATGAGTCTCTGGATGAAGAGCTGCACCTCCTCATCTTATCCTGCAGGAAGTTGTTTTACTTCAAAATCTGGGCTTTCCTGGATGTTAAGTTTGTGGAGCGGATTCTAAAGATCCGGGAGGAAGGGCAGTGTGCCCTGCGCACACTCAAGGTAAGAGCACCCTGGGGTGGGTTCCTCCCAAGAGAAGGGGCACGGGGCTCCTGGGGGGCAGGTGTCCAGTCCTGGGGTGAAGGTCAGGGATGAGGCAGGACACGGAGGCTGGATGTCTCACAAGTCTGTCCATTCTGTGAAATTGCTAATTTCCAAGGGAATCCGGAGTTTAGGATTAATAATTAGTAGTAATCATCCTTAGCATTAATAGTTGGGTTTGGGCTCTTCCTGATTCTGCCAACAATTGTACGGGTACCTCATCTGGATTGTCTTCGGGGCCTGGGTGATGTAGTCACAGGGTGCATGTGTGGAGGTGTATTTCTCTGTCGGCACAGGTGAGAATCTATACAAACAGATATGAGACGAATGAAGAGGACAGGACACTGCGAGAAATTTACAGGAGGTACAGAAAGCTGATCGATTCAGAGCTTAACTATTTTGTCATCGCTTACCCCATGATGTAACCAGCACTCTCCAGAGAAAGAAAACCAGGAGCGCTTTGAACCTGACAATCCAGTCCTCACAGAATGACACTTGGGGCATCCCCTACCCCCACCCCTTTTCCTCCTCCCTCTCCTTTTTTGCTGGTTTCACACCAACGTGACACCGCAGCAAAGTCTAGGAAGTCATGCGAAGACCCCAGGTGACTTTAAAGTGCTATCTTTGCCAACTATCCAGGGGTGATTTCTCTTTTTTGTGGTTAAGTTTTGCTTTTTGAGTCTCAGTCAGCCATGGAGCTGAAAGCCCAAAGCCACTCAGAGCAAGTTCTTACTCAGGGGCCCTGACTCTTGCTAACCTCGCTCCTGAAAATGTGCCAGGAAGCAAACAGGGCCACGATTTCCGTGGACTACCAGTGTCAGCTCAGAAAGGCTTTTTTTTTTTAAAACAAGATTTGTTTATTTTTAATCTTAGTCACACCCTGCAGCATGTGAGATCTTATTTCTCTGACCAGACATTGAAACTGTACTCCTTGCATTAGAAGGCGGAGTCTTAACCATTAGACCGCCAGGGGAGTCCCCCAGAAACGCCTTCTATCCTGGCTGACCTTCATGTCAGAGCCTCCTGCCACTGAAGCTGGCCAGGCCTGATCTCAGATGAATGAAATCTGCCAGCAGGTCCTCCAGCGAAGCAGGGAGTTTCCCACATGTAAACAGAGACGCTCAGGACCAGAACTCCTTCCCACAGGAGCTCAGCTCCTGATCTGTTGGTGTTATGGACTCAGATCTCCCACATCTGCTTTTCTGGTTCTCCTTTATTTTCCCCATCCAGGCAGCATGGTGCTCAGCCTGCTACGAAAGCTCAGTTCTCACATGGGGCTGAACCAGAAGTAACCTTCATAGTCACAAAGCATCTGTAATGTCCTGGAGAAATGTCCCTGATACAATGCTAAGTGGAAAAATCAGGACACAAAACTGTGTTTCGTGTGATATCAATCACGATAAAATACAAGTACAGGATTTTTTTTTTAAGCATAGGAGAGATATACCAAAAATGTTAATAGTGATCTCTGAGTGGTGGGATTATGGGTGATTTTTATTTTCCTTCTTATGCTGTCCCCTATTTCTCAGATTTTCTACAAAGACCATGTGCTATTTTTATAGTCACAGGGAAACATGATGTGTTTTAAATGGGGAGCATGGATAAATTCCTGAGCCCATGCTGTTAACATGGATTGCATCTGGTCTTTTGAGATTTTGTGCATATAGTTCTATCTAGAGTTTTTTTCCCCAATAGATATAAATTAATAAAATCTCAGGATATTTTTGACAAGTGTCTCACTTCAGATTTTATCTCATCTTTTGCATGTTGTATCTATATTTATGCTTAGCTTTTCAGGTCTTTATTAAAGCTCATTCTTATCTAGTGCTTTTCAATTTTCACAGCATTTCCACAATCACTGTCTGATCTGAATGTCCCTGAAATGCTGTTGGGTGCTTATGGTTCCTGTTTCATGAACATTCAGAAAAAAAATCAGCACTGGCAAGGGGTTCAGGGTCCCTATCTGGTTACCAAACTCAGGTTGAACTGTTTGTTGCTCAAGAAATCAATATTAAGTGACAAGTATTGGGTAAAAGGAAAGATAGCTTTCTTGAGGAAGCCAACAATCCTGGGAAGAAGGTAGACTCATGTCCCAAAGAACCAACTCACCATTGGTGATCAGGGGGCAAGAGCTTTTAAAGAGGAGTTTTAGGGGTGCACAGGCAGGTGGGGGGCCACATGCAGAACAACACAATCAGCTCAATCATCTTGAGATTGATCTGGCTGTGTTTTGATCAGCCTCATTATTTTTAAAAGACAACTTTATTTATTTTTGCCTGCATTGGGTCTTAGTTGAAGCATGTGGGATCCTTTGTTATGGCACACACACTTCTCTAGCTGTGGTACACGAGCTCTGTAGTTTGCAGCTAATGGGCTCTCGTGTTGAGGCACTGGTTCAGTAGTTGTGGCACACAGACCTAGTTGCTCCATGGCCTGTGGGATCTTAGTTCCCCAACCAGAGATCAAACCCACATCCCCTACACTGGAAGGTGGATTTTTTTTACCACTGCGCCACCTCGATATATTTTTTTTTAAGTAAATAGCATTGTCAACTAATTATACAGTAGTGAGGAATAAAATACAGTAGTGAGGAATAAAACGTACACACAGAACAATGGTTATATTAGCAATATGCATGTTATTATAATCTAAGGGTGACCATATCCTCCAGCATAGAAGCTTCTTTTCTTCTTCCCCAAGATCTTCCACTCCATGTTGTCTAACCCAGTGAACGAATGTGACCTGGGTCACCCCTGATGACAGCTCTAGAGGTGGTCTAACTGTTCCATTTCAAAGTCATTCCCAAAAGACATTTCTCTCATATGACTTTTTAAACCCTTCTAAGTCACAATCTAACCTTGTCACTCACCCATGTAATTGATGACCTGCCTGTGACTGAATAATTAAGCAACTTTAGAGAAACACAAGTCCAAGAAGATAATAGGTGTTTCCTGAAGTAACAGCTAATAGCAGAAAAGTATAATCAACTATAAAGTCCACCAGCTTGGGAATCGGTGACCGGAAAGTGAAAGTGATGCTTGCTCAGTCATGTCCAACTCTTTGTGACCCCATGGACTGTAGCCCACCAGGCTCCTCTGTCCGTGGGATTCTCCAGGCAAGAATACTGGAGTGGGTAGCCATGCCCTTCATCTTCCCCACCCAGGGATCAAACCCAGGTCTCCCGCATTACGGGCAGATTCTTTACCATGTGAGCCACCAGGGAAACCTAAGTGCTGGTAATTCTGCATCATGCAGCAATTTAAAGACAGAGGTGGGTCTTCATGTCTTGACATGGACACCCTTCAAGGCATGCTAAGCGAAAAAAGCAAGCTGCAGGGCTCTCCTGCAGGAGCAGGACTTGACTCTCCAGACAGGCTCCTGGCTTGGGCCCCTGAGGCCCCTCTGATTCTGGGGCTCATGAAGCTCCCTGCTACGCCCCCTGGTGGCCTCCTGGCCGCCATCCCGACCCCAACCCCACCCAAGACCAGCCACCCAGAAAAGCAACCCCAGAAGGCAAGAGCCAGGGTCTGCCTGCCTCCTTCAGGGTCCCAGATGCTGAAGACCAGAGTTTCCTTTCATGGTGGTCAAGGAAATCAGAGAACAGCCAATCCCCATTCGGACTTGTTCTCTGGGGCTGGCTCATCATCACACCTTTGAATTGAATACCGGGAAGGCCGATGTCTTTTCTGGACACTCTGCACTGGCAAAATTTCCAGGGTCTCTTCAAGTTATAAAAGTCTCATTTCAGTAACTAGTTTTGAGAGCCATACAGAGTGGTCAGATTCAGAGATGGAGGGTAGAATGGTGCTTCCTGGGGGCAGGGGCAGCAGGTGGGGGGGGATGGTAATGGGGAGTTCTTGTTTAGCAGACATGGGGTTTCTGTTGGGCTTGATGAAAGGGTTCTGGAGATGGGTACACAACAATACCCAATTGGGTATGCAACAATTCGGTCCTGCTGAATTCTACATTTTAAAACAGTTAAAATGAGAAATTGGATGTTATGTGTATTTTACCGCAATAAAAGATGTACAAAGGGGAGGAGAGGGTGAGATGTATGGAAAGAGTAACATGGAAACTTATACAATCCTATGTAAAATAGATAGCCAATGGGAATTTGCTGTATGGCTAAGGAAACTCAAACAGGAGCTCTGTCTCAACCTAGAGGGGTAGGATGGGGAGGGAGACGGGAGGGAGGTTCAAAAGGGTGGGGATATGTGTATATCTATGATGGGCCATGGTGGAGAGGTCTGACAGAATGTGGTCCACTGGAGAAGGGAATGGCAAACCACTTCAGTATTCTTGCCTTGAGAACCCCATGAACAGTATGAAAAGGCAAAAAGATAGGACAGGACAGAGAGGCCTGGCGTGCTGCGATTCATGGGGTGGCAAAGAGTCAGACACGACTGAGCGACTGACCTGACCTGATGGCTGATTCATGATGAGGTTTGACAGAAAACAACAAAACTCTGTAAAGCAATTATCCTCCAATAAAAAATAATTTTTTTGAAAAAGACTACAAGCCAAAAAACAAAAAAAAAAGTTTATGTAAGGTTAAAAACATCTCTTCTGCACCTTCCTGATATGTTTTGGGTAGACAGCACACAGCCGGGGAACAGCGCGTGCGAATCTGTGTCTGTATGTGAGAGGAACTCTGTGTGGGGGATGAATGTTGCTCCCCCTTCCCCTCTGCTCACACATCTTGAGATCCTCTTCCTCACTCACTCACTGGGCTGCTTTTGCTTCCTCCAGAGTTGAAATAGGGGAGAGAGAGCAGCAAGTCTGTCACGCGTTCTACTCTAAAAATCAGCTTTGGGGACCTCCCTGGCCGACAAGTGGTTAAGACTCCCAGGGCCGGGGGCTCCGTTTCCATCCCTGGTCGGGGAACTCGGAACTCTGGTGGGGTTCCATCCCTAGCTCGGGTTCCACGCCTGGTCATGCCACATGCCCTGTGGTACAGCCAAAAAGAATACTAATAAAAAAATTTTTAAATCAAATTCTAACTAGTACTGGGTGACCTGCCACACATCTCCCCAGGCATGCTAGGTGTAGAAAGCTGACTCTTCATCTAGTGACTCGTGAAAGTTCTTTCCAACCCTGCAGCCACACCTTTACCGGAATCTCTCACCCACAAGTCTCACCCTTGGTCTGGAGGGGCCCCTGACCGTAGGCCCACAGGCAGCCTTGCTTCTGCTGCTGCTGCTAAGTCGCTTCAGTCGTGTCCAACNTTCCTTCCAATGACTATTCAGGACTGATTTCCTTTAGGATTTACTGGTTGGATCTTCTTGATGTCCAAGGGACTCTCAAGAGTCTTCTCCAATATCACAGTTCAAAAGCATCAGTTCCTCTCCCATGGCTCATGTCTAATCCACAGGAAAGTCTCACATCCTTTTCTCTTAGCAGATTTTAGGAGAGCCAGTTTCTAGTGTAGCAAACTATCTTCCCTTCACCATCAAACCCAGTGGTGGCCGAAAAGTTTGTCATACATTCTATTTGAAAAATCAGATTCATTGGGGTAAAATTTACATAAAGTAAAATTCACCAATTTTACTATATATCATCATCTAGCAACACCATGATCAGGATAAAGAACATTTCTGTTGACTGAAAAGGTTTGTTGTGTCCTTTGCCTCACCC